AATTAATTATAATATCTGACCATGTTAATATAATTGCGTACCACCTAAGTTTTGCCAACTTTATAAAGAATCAAAAAATAAAATAAATAAAATTGATGTGCCCATAAAGCACGAGTCAATGATCTTTGAGAAAAATAAATGTTCCAACAAAAAAATAGCATTATTAAAAGTTTTCATAACTCATAATACTTGGTCACGTTATGTTTTTTTATATTCTTTTTCTTCTATTGGAACAAAGGTAGGTCTGAAAATAATTCGTCATAAATTCAAGCTTTGATGTGACGGAAGAATAAAATTATCATAAATTTGTCATAATTTTAAGACGGACTATAAATATTTGTTCGCAAATTTATATTTTGTTTGTATTATTTTTTAGTGTAATAGCGACACATTTAAATTCTCGAAAGTGTAGTATATTGGTAAATGAATTTGTAATGTTTAGGTGTAGAAGTGATATTTATTCCTATTTATCTAAAAAATTTATAAATAATATTGTTTTGTATATGTAATGGTAGGGAATAAAATATTATTGGTAAATTAATTAAAGTATGTGCAAGTTGACTTGTATACTACAAATATTAATAATTAAAGAGCTATATACCATCCTAAGGTCTTAGATGTATATCAAAAAACAAACAAATACTAATATATTTAGCCATATCATTGACATTCAAAATTATTTATTATATTCAAAGTGTGCATGGAAACAAGGAAAATATGGTAACAACAAAAGAATCAAGGATAAAAGAAAAAAAGACAATATGAAACACTAAGTTTCTGCTATATGCAGGGTTCGAGAAACTATCGAACTACAAAGGTTTATTGTGCACAGTCTTTGTCTTGTATATATGCATAGCGTTGTTTCCACGGCTCGAACATGTCACCCCAACGACTTTATCAGTTATGCTAAGAATATAATGATATATACTCTGTATATATATGATATACAATGCTTTTCCTGGTCCAAAAGCGACGAGAATCTGAATCAGTCGAATCTGTAAATTCAGACTTATCAATAATTAATAACCAAGCTCAACTCTAGCTTGAGATCTCCAATACCTAGCTTTCTCAAAACCATTAGTATAATTCTCAAAATCCTCAATAGTTTGATCAATTTCTTCTTGAGTATTCATCACAAAAGGTCCCAATTGTGCAATTGGTTCACCCAATGGCTCTCCACCTACTAATATAAACCTTAGTATTTTTGTCCCTTTATTCCATGCCACAAGTCCATCACCAAATCCACTTAAAAGCAACAAATTATGTGAAGATATAGGTGAATTTGTTCTTGAATCTTGACCAAATATACCTTCACCTTCTAAAATATATACAAATGAATTATATGATTTGGGAATTGGTTGTTGAATTTGGGATCCTGGTTTTAGAGTAAAGTCCAAATATATTGTTGGAGTTTTTGTGTGTATAGTTGATTTTATTCCTAGTGCTTCTCCTGCTATAACTCTCACTTTTACTCCATCTTTTGTTGCTTCTCCTATGTTTGCACTTGATATTTCTTGATATCTTGGTTGAATCCTGTTATAAACCATAGAGATATTAGAATCGGCAAACTCAGGATCTAAATACTTCGGGGTGCACTTCAAATAAAAACAGTGAAATAGGATAGTAGCTGATCAATTCGAACCCTGGTCTCACAGATGGTTCCTTTAGCTTGTACTATCTCCTCATGGGTGCGCTGTTAATTATATCTTACTTCTTGTCAGTTTTCAAGATAGATATACATGATTTTTCTGAAATTAACAGGTGCACTTGCACCTCCACCAAATCGTGTAGGCCAGCCTCTTATTAGAATAATATTTGTAAGAAATATGTTTTCTTCTTTAATGAGCCTTATACAACGCAAATTTAAATCAATCAACCTTAAAATATATGAATATCGAACGCCGAATAAACTTACATTTTGTTTTTGGAGGAGAGGTTAATCCATAATTGTAAACCTTTTTGAATTCCCTCAGTTGCAGGCATTTCTGAATGAACTACTCCTCTTCCAGCAGTCATCCATTGTAAATCACCTGCTTTAATTGTGCCTTTGTGTCCATCAAAATCTTCATGTGTCACAGCTCCCTGTTGTACAAAATAATAATATAAAAAACTTGCTTTGATTTCAACTAATATGAAATTAACATATAAATGTTGTTTTTTTTTTTTACCTAAATAATTGTCAACATCATGAAATTTAGGATACAAAAACAAAATGGACATTTATGTGCTGACTGTTTAAACTTAAATTAATCAAGTCATTTATAAGTAAATATTTATTTTGATCCTTCTAGGCTGAACAATCACATTTATTCAACTACTCCTTTAATTTTCTGAAACGTGGAAATTAATTTAGTCCTTTTACACCAACAGCATGTGAAAGAGACTATTAATTACTAAATAGAATAAGCCGACATAAGGTGTTTAAAATGAACATTATCATATCTATGTGAAATTTCGTGTAAACTTTTAAGGGGTCAAACAAAACTGGTCCATTGAATCAGCTTCCACGAGTTCCGTATCAACCGGAGGAAGTAATAGGAGGGATTCCGTTTAGTCTATCCAGTAGAGGCTCCGATGGGTTAAGCCTAATATCTTAATTTGCTTCTCTTTTCTTTTTTTTTAATTATTAAAAGTGTAAAATTGAAAATAAAAATACCTGCAACATGTACGTGACAGTTTCAAAGCCTGTAAAATTCAAGAAAAAAATAGTGATGAGATTTGAAAATTATTTTAGATGGGAAAAATTAGAACAAATTAAATAATTAGAATGCTAATTGGTACCTCTATGTGGATGATCAGGAAAACCAGCTGGAGCAGAAACTGTAATTAATTTTAATTAGACAAAAAAGAAGAGATTAACATATGGATAAAATGCTAAAAAATTAAGTTAGTAATTAATCCAAGAATTTAATTAAACATACCTGAGAATTCATCCAAAACAATGAATGGATCAAAGTATCTTAACTCAAACCTGAGAGATGAAAAATACAAAAAAATGTCAATTTTCGACGTAGAACATAAATATATGAGAAAAACAATAAAATTTGATTGAAGATTAAATTTTGAAATGTAATTGACTTAAACAATAATAACAAATTCAGTATAGTTTCACATATAGGGTCTGAAGAGTATAGAGTGTAAGCAAATTTTATCTCTATCTTTCAATAGACCCTCAAATGAAAGGAAAGATGAAAAATATATCGTATTCAAAAACAACAACGTATTCAGTATAGTCCCACCAAAATCGGAGCGAAAAATTTAAAAAGTGTATATATACCTTCCAATGCTTCTTCTAACAACAGCTCCAAGGCCTTCTTGTTGAGGCCTTGCCAAAAAATTTCTAGCAATAGAACGAGGTTCTCTTACAATTGACATTTTTGTCTTGTCCAAAAGTACTAAATTAGAAAAACTTTTATATTTGTTTATGAGTTTTGTTTGAAGTATATATTTGTGTGGTTTGTGTATCAACTTATTATAAAGTGTTGTTATTATTTATAGTGTGTAATTGGCAATTAAGTCAAAATATATGAAAGGAAGAGGGAGTTTCCTTGAGATGCTGGCACCTTTTGTTTTTTTGTTTTTGTTTATATATTTAATTTACTTCTCACGTCATCATAACGTTTTCATGATGCCTCCCCATTTTCCATTCACAAGCACTTTTTTTCCGTTAAACATAAACGTGTTATTTAACCTGACTTTAGATAACATTTATACGCTTCAATTATAGGGTATGCAAGTAGATATTTATTTAAATTTGTATAAAGTTGAACAAGTAAACACACCGCGTCATACGTTGTGAGATACACTCGAACTGATTTGTACGTCTAGTTAAGCAGATCTAAAGTTAGAGAACATAAATGTCAGTTGAGATCAAGTTAAAAAAACGAATTTAGATAGTTATTTAATAAATTTTATAGATATTAGACGATAAATTAATATTTTATCAGTTTAAATGACTATATTTGTTTAATTTTCCATTTCAAACATCCGTTTTGCCTTCCTTTTAGGGTCTATTTAGAAATCATATTTGAGCATTTTTGAGGAGTACAACGACTTCGATAGTAATTACATGGCACAATGACCAAAATAAAAATTATATATATCGACTAGGAAAATAAAAAGATATTTACCGATTATTTGTGTAAAGATCCTTTGAAAAATGAAAAATGCCTCATATTTCATAGAACAAGATTCTATGAATTGACAATTAGGGAAATCAAATCAAGTAGACCAAAATCTTGAATATTTTGACATGAACTTATTTGCGTGTTATTTCTAAAAATATCTATCTATGAGGGGGTCCATTAATTGTTAGCGTCATAAGAACAAAAGCATGACGAAAATAAATAATAGCCTTGTAAAATTAGAATTATTTGAATTAGTCAAAAATAAAATAAAATGATGTATAGTTGGATTGGATTACTACAAAGATTCTAGTCTCAATATGAAAATATAGTCCAACTTCCACATGAATTTTGACACTTCATTTTTTTTTTCTTTCAAAGTATATTTATTGTAGCAAATGATGATGCAATACCATCGTTTTGATGTCGTATCCCTTTGCAATACCACATATTTATTTACATTGGATATGTATACTAAACTAATTAAGGAATTTGACTTGATAGTTGTTTGTTACAGTGGGGTAAAGAATGTGTTGTCAAGGCTTAAACATTATTATTGTTAGAGTGGATAAAAATCTCACATTGATTGGTAACGGATTGATGGTAAGACGAGTGACTTCAATAGTGAACACAATGAAAGAAGCAAGGTTGAATTTTGATTCAGATATGTGAAGAGGAGACATAATAGTCAGCGAGGATGTGTGAGAGATTGATCGTAGAGGTAGGGGTACTTCTATTTTGAATTGAGGGTCTATCGGACTCAACTTCTCTACCCCGTAATATGAAACCTGTGATCCCCATGAATTGTTAGAAGGTATCTATTGGAAGTGCAACAAACAAGATGAAAGTTCAGCAGAAGGTCCATCTTAACACTGATTAAGAAAACAGTTAATGATGCAATTAAGGCTGTTCTCAAAATTCTTTTTTTCCATAAAGTAGGTTGTTCTCAAAATTCTCAGTTAACCATATGCAAAACAAACTTGAATCTAACTCTGATACAAGAAGTTTATCATTCCCTTTCAATGAAGTGAGACTGTTGTTGAATAGGGAAGAAAAACCAAAATCTAATTGGTTCTGATAATTTAAAAATTGGAGCCTGCAGCTCTAAGCAGCAGCACCGGCAGCCTTCCCTTTCTTCTTCTGAAGTTTCTTCATGTAAAACTCAAGTTCCTTTCCTTCCAAGATGTAACTGTCAAAGTTCGTTGAAAGAAATTGTGTAAGAAAATGGAATTTGGCATTTTTCGCCAAAATATAATATACATAACAATAAGAGAATTCATACCCATCAGCACGACCACACTGGCCAGGTCGTGATGAGATTGCAGCCAATAGACGCCCACTAGCAAATTGCTCCTCAACATGTGGGTCAATCTTGCGATCCTGTTGCCTCTTTTCCAGCTTTCTTTGGACATGGTTACTCTTCTTCTCCTCTGCTACAGCCTCAGCCTCCTGTTTGGATCAACGAAAAAGAAGTCATCAAAACAGAGAAAGACTTCCATTGAATTTGGTTGAAGCTAAAGCTGCAACCTTTATTATAAAGACAGTTTCCACTTCTTTTTGGATTAGAACCACCAACAGCACAAACAGTAAAGAAAAAAACTCTTAAGATTAAGAATGTCCATTCATAATTTCCCAAAGACAAATAAAATAAAACTAATAATGGAATCATCGATAAAGAAGATAGTATCACATAAGCATGGAGTTGAAAAAAGACAATCAAATACCTCTCCTTCCTTCTTGGAAGCAGCAGTCTTCTTTTTGCGACCAATCTCAACTCCATAGTGCTGGAGATACCACTGTTTAAATGGAGCTGCGTCAACCTGAATAATTGCACTCTTCACCAGGGTTTGTGTCCTAACCAACTCATTGTTAGAGGCGTTATATACCACATCCAACAGACGAGTCTTCCTTGTAACAGCCTCGCTACCCCAAGAGAAATTCCCAGTATCCAATCTCAAAGCACGCCACTTCACATTACCTCCGCGGACTCTTATCCTTCTAACAGTCTTAGCATTTGGCACCAGCTTTGTGTTTGCTGGCTGTCTGCCAAGCTCATACCTTCACAGAAACAGGAGATACGGAGTCAATCTCAAAATGCAATCACAAAAAAGACAGATTATTCATACATAGCAGTCACTTTATATCAGAAATTAACAAAATCCCTGATCAAGTGAGAGACTACCGGATAATCAGAAGGAAGCAAACCAAATTTGCAGTAGTACACATCAGTAACTTTTCGTTTTAGTCATATCCTTCTTGTTAGTTAGTTTGAGTAATATATCAGCTGGGAAAAATGATCGGCGCATAGGCTTAAGTCAGTTAGATCCATCATTGTTAGGAACGGATCAATGAGATATCAATCCCCTTTTCATGTTTTTCTTCTCTTCACTTACAACTAAATTCCTTTGCTTTTTGATTTCTCTTCTACATTTCCTTCTCCAAAAAACCTTTCTTTTCTACATTTTCCCTTATTGCATCAGCCCATTCATTAGACTAACTCCATATCATTAGGCAACAAAAACAGGGAATCCCTGACAAAAGAACTAAACTTTGAAAGAACTAAACTTTAAAATTTCATCAAAGCTGCTTCCTTTATAAAACTTCCCTAAAGCCAATTGAATTGTTATGTTTAGTCCACATCTGTTACTCAGACTATTCAAAAATGCCAATCCTCCAAAAGTAGTGCAAATTTGGAGATTCCGATCAACATAGGTCCACTTAAACAGGTTCACTTAAACAGGTTCTACAACATTTTTGGAGATCACGAGCAATATACGTACACATCATTAACCTAAACTCCATAGAATTGGATGCATGTACAAATTTCATTATATTCAAAATAATAACGCAATATCAACGCATAAGTGAGGAATTACTAATAAAAAATAAAAAATGAGCAGCCTCCAGATCTACCGCTATACATCGAACAATCTGAATAAACTCTAAATCCTCAATCATGCTAAATTTTGCAGATCACGTTTATCCAATTATCAAAAAAATACATTGCTGCTTAAATATGAATAATTTGTACATACTTTCTCTTCTTCCTCCAAGCCTTCTTCTTTCCTCCAGTGGCACGTCTCTTGTGCATAGAATCACGAGAGATACCTATACAATATCACAGTAAATTTCTCCATTAAATTCACTTCGCTATTCCAATTATACATATTAAACAAACAAATTGCAGAATTAACAATATGAAATGATGAATAGATTCTATTACCCATTGTCGCCGGTGACGGAGGTCCTTAGGGTTTAGATTTTCTCAAAGACGGACGACGGCGCTACAAGAGCTGGGTTTTATCAGCTTATAAATTTAAACCCTAGCTATTTCACAATTCCAATTTTGTCCTTCCTTATTGCCCTTTGAGTTAGACGACATCGTTTAACACAGTTTTTTTTTTTTTTTACATTTTGGTTCTTATAGTTTAGCTATTAAAATATGTAATTACATTTAAATTATAATTATGTTATGACTTATGAGAAATAACCAAGTTATCTTTGGTTGGATGGTTGTTACGTATTATTTCATAACGTATTGTATTGTTTTAATAAATATAACGTTTCGATAAATTATATTGTATTGTTTGAACGAATACAATGTTTGGATATATTGTATTGTTCTTCATCGTTACGTACTGTCACAAATTCATGATTTGAATGATAAAACTAAGAGAAAAATAGGGTACAAGTGCATCTACAATGAATATATAGGGTAAAAGATGGAATATAATTATTAAATAATAAAGACAAAATGAGAAGATGGATCTTTTCGTTGTTACCTAAGGGTGGAGTCAAACTACACAATACAATAGAAAATAAATAACGTCAAAATAAATATTATATTTTAAGATCCAATACAATACAATACAATACGATGCGATACAACGGCTGAATTACTGATTAACTTTTGAGATTGTGCAAATTCCAAAATTCCAAGTTGAGAGCTTTGTTCCCTCTATTGGGCATCTTGAAAATGGGGTTTGCTGCAGTTAGTACCATTTCAATGGCTAATGTTTTTCTAAGAAGCTCTTATCATTATCAGAAAGATGTAAATTTGGGGTCTTGTATGAGAAAAGAAACATGGGGTTTTAATCTTTACTTGCCAAAGCTCAAGTACCAATCAAGAATCTCATTTTGCTGCAAGAATGAATCAATTGATTTTGAAGAAAGAACAAGTCCTAATGAGGTAAAGAATTCATGAACCTATTTCTTGTTTCTTCAATTAGCTGCTGCATATGCTTTGTTTAGTCCCAATTTGTGTAAATTGAAGTTAATATTGGGTTGAAGTTTCCAACTTTGGAACTTGTCAAAGCATAAAAATGAAAAGTTCCCACTTAGTTATCTGATTTAGCTATTGCATATGCTTTCATTTTGTTTGTTGTCATGTGATTAGGAGTTCACCGGTTTGAGGGGTAAGCCTCAGACCCGTGCATAGCGGGAGCTTAGTCCAAGTTTGTGTAAATTTAAGTAAAAATTGGGTTGAGTTTCCAACTTTGGGACTTGTCAAAACATAGAAAAGTGGGGAAAAAATCTATTAAGTTGCTGCAAATGCTTCATTTTGTAGCAATTTGTGTAAATTAAAGTAGAAATTGAGTAAAAGTTTCAAACTTTGGAACCCGTCTAAACGAAAAGAAGAAAAAAAGATTCTATCTTTGGATGTTAAATGTCCTTTTGGATTGAATGGAAGATAGAAATTGGCATTATGCAAACTTGGATTTTTGTTTTGAAAATTTCAAATTTTAGGACAGTATGATCTAATTGTAGATATAAAGATGCTGGCTTGGGATTTTGATGTGGGAAATCTATTTTGTATTCAATTCTGGCTCGTATTGTTGTTTTAGAACTCATGAGTTTAAGAGACTATGTGCCCGTTGCCTTGCAGAAAAGAAAGAATGAGTGAATCATATCTGAGGTTTTCAGTACTAAGAAGTTAGATTTATGCTGCAATGTTTGATTAGTGATTAAAGAACTTGCTAGCAGTACGAGATTGAAGATTCTCTCTACCTTGCCGCTTCACTCAATTTGTCAAATGTATAATCATACAAATTTATCTTGTTTGCCGACTTATAAGAACAAGTTTTTTTATCTGTATCTTTGTGCAAGTACTTAACATGCACAGGTTGAGTGTGGGGTATGGGATGATGACTTGAGAATTTCGAGTCTTCTGTATGGCGATAGGAGTAGAAGATATCTGGAGGACTTTGTAGTGTGGTGGCCCCTTTTCTCTTTTGTTGTAAAAAGGAAGTGCATATTTGAGACATCTCTAAGAAATTGCTTCAGTGCCAGCAAGAAACAAGCACCACTCTTGCTAGATCGAACAAGCGATTGTTGTTCCTTTATTCGTAATTCCTCCCGTGGACCACATTGGGATCTTATACACCTATTGCATTACTTTATGCTAAGGTTATTTAATGATATCATCACTAGTATGTATATCGACTATAAATTACAGATAGCTTGAAATCAAAGGCATATTAGCTGGCATCCAATAGTATAGGCTAAGCAACTAGGAAGAACTGCAATGGATGGAAGTTGTTCAAAGTAGTATATTGAAAGAACAATCAGCTTAAATGACCATAGGCCACATGGATGTCCAGATTGAGTCCTATTTTTCTCAATTTTGAAAGTGTTTCTTAAAATTATCAAGCTTTTCAAGAATATGTTTCTTAAAATGGAAGTTTCCTTCTAGTGATTGATGAATACCTTCTCTCTCTCTTTTTCAAATACTGAGTGAGTTGCTGAACAAAGAAAGGGCTGGCACTCGCTGGGTACAAGGAAATACACTTCATGCCATCAGGTTGTGATTTCAGTGAAACGAAATGGCTTGCTTTCTTAAAGTAGCTAAGGTACATAACATTCACTTGAAGTTCGGCTCAAAAGAATCTAATACTCCCACCACCTTTTCTTCTTCACCACTTGCTGATGTATGACGCCTTACAGCCGTATGTATACCTCAGCATGGATTCTGATTCATTAGAGTTGAAGAACCTGTCTGAGAAGCTATGCACCATTTCTATATTTAACTGATTAGTGGTGGAAACTTGAGAGTCTCACGATTCCATTGATGGAGCAAAAAGTTCGTCAGCCAGTGCTTTTCCATCAGAGAAATTACCAAGCGAAGTTCTGATGTCCTCACCCTTTCTTCAATCAGCAGTGTGTTAGCCACACATTTTAGCTGTAGCAATCGGTCACTAAATTATGAATTGTTAAATATCTGAATTTTTGACGCACAATTTTCTGTATCTGATTTTGCCTTGATATATGATTAGTGGAAAAAACCAAAACTCTTTCAGATGCATTGCTTGAAATTAGGCTGGTTACTTATATTGCATCTCCGTTACACAAGTTATCTAGTTTTGAAGTTTTCTGAAACTAACAATCTATTGAAAATGCAGGTCAAGAAAGAGATTGAGCAATGCTATGAATTAATACACAGGCTTGGTCGTGGTGTTGTGTATTTAGGATCTTCAAGGATGGGTTCTGGACATCCACACTACATAAAAACCTTTGAATTAGGGAACAAGGTTAGTCAACTTTCTCAAAGTTTGGGTGAAGTAATAGAAAAAGAAAGATGAAGTAGCTTGTATAAAAAGGTACTCTCTCCATTTCGATTTTTTCTGATTTTGACTTACACAGAGTTTTAAGAAAGTAAAAAAGGACTTTTGAATCATGTGGTCTTAAACTAAAGATATGTAGAATGTACCATGTCCTTTAATCTTGTGGTCTTAAACATGTCTGGTGGAAAGGGTGAATTAAAGAGTTACCAAAAAAGAAAAGGGACATTCTTTTTTAGACGGTCTAAAAAGGAATGTAAGACAAACAAATTGAAACGGAGGAAATAATACTATTTGGAGAAGAATCTGTGACTATTATTTTCTAAATACTACTTGTTCGGTAGATTGCAACCCTCTTAGATTGTACAACGTGGTCCGGGGCTGGGCCAGGCTTAATGGATGCTGCCACTCAAGGTGCTCTACAAGCAGGGAAGCCCGTTGGCGGGTTCAAGATAGGTAAAGAAGCAGGGGAATGGACAGCTACAAATTTTCATCCATACTTACCATCAGAGAGTTATCTTACATGCAGGTAAGCATAACATCAAATGCATGGTTTTTCTTATGTTCTTAGGGGCCATTTGGTTGTAAGCTGGTAACCAAGCACCATACTTGGTGTGCCGAATTTCATTCATAACAATTAAAATGCTACCAAACATGTCATTAGTTTCTTACACGAATAATTCACTTCGTAACCAACAATCAAAGGGAGTCCCCTTATAGCTTCTTGAGTTCATCAACTGTTTTGTACTCAGGTTTTTCTCCGCAAGGAAACACGGGTTGGTGGATGCTGTTGTGAGATGTAGAAGCTCTGAAAGGACAGCTGTTGTCGCACTTCCTGGAGGAATTGGTACCCTCGACGAGGTTTTTGAGATCATGGCTTTGATTCAACTCGAGCGAATTGGCTCTCAACTTCCTGTTCCTTTGCTTCTAATGAACTATGATTCATTTTATACCAATTTGTTGGAGTTCCTCAATGATTGTGAGAAGTGGGGAACTGTCTCTAAAGGTGAGGTTGAATCATTGTGGAAAATTTGTAACAATAACTCGGTAGCTTTGGATTATTTGGCTGAATTTTATGGTCTTTCAACTATAGAAACCAATAGAAAAGATTCTGAATCATCAGAACATTTAAGAATTAACCATGGTTAATTCATATGTCAATTGTGACTTTAATCTTTAAATGTTAAGGTAAAATTGTTTGGTTCGGTGTAAACATCTGGTGCTTATAAAATTTTACTATACATTATTTTTGAATACTTCGATTATCGTATTATTTAGTTGTAGTTACTGTTCAGAATGTTTGTTATTCTCTTTTTGGATTGTTTTACTTGAGTTGAAGGTCTACCGGAAATAACCTCTCTATATCTGAGGTCCTTGGTAAGGTCTACGTACACTCTACCCTTCTCAAACTCCATTTTGTATGTTATTTGTATACATGGTGTTTGAGAAGAATTTAGAGTATTTTCAAGAGTTTGAGAAGAGTTACCGTATAAATATCAAGGTCATTTTGGTCTTTTAAGGATAATATCGAAGTATATTGGACTATATAGCTAAATACAAGTATAAAGTATTCCAAATCATATCCAAATTTCACATATATAAGGTAATGATGCGATCCTATTAAATCAGTTGTTACATAATAAGACATTTTGTTGATAAAGTTAATACGATACAATCAAAATGAACATTGTATTCACGATCCTCAACTGTGTAATCACATCAAACAACAAGAGGAGACACCTTCATCTGCGATCGCCGCGGTCAACTTTCGACCG